ATATAGCGTACATTCATATATTTTTTAATGAGATACGTCAGTTAAAATTAATTAAACTCGAAAGAGTGTCTGGACCTTAAGTTACCTGGAGTAACATTTGATCGTTAATTAAACTTTAAGTAATGACTTAAAGCATGCAGGGATCGAGATCTTGAAGGTACGTCATTAGCTGTACAGCTTTGTTGAGAGATTTCTAACTAACGTCCACTTAATAGAAGAAAATAACAAGTACAACAATTATATTACTAAAGGCCTCAGAATGAAAGGCTACATTTCATACAGTTGTTATATATAACCTTATTTTTCTTATGGATCTCATTGTAATACAATTTGAATACTAAAGTCATAATTCAACAGAAAATATATTTTTTCATAAATATGAGGAAATCCGTTTTATTTAAATCCTACCTCTTCAATTTGTCCGCCGTCACTTTTTGCCTCGGTCCATTTTTCTAGCAAAAGCAAATATGTAATATGTATTATTTTCGAAACACATCTTGAATTCAAGCAGCGTATTGTATTCAAGAAAAGTTCAATACGAATATCCGATGTTCAATGGAAATTGACGCTATTATCGATTCTCGACGGTTAACATTGAAATTTTTTAAATAAACATTATTAGCTATAAAGAAGCGTTGGTGTTTTGGCGAATCTGACGTCACGGCCTTCTCACAGTCTTTATAATGTTGGGTCAATGACCGATGCAGATGCGTTGGTTCACATGTAGCTTTACAACCTCCCACGTGTAGACCCGAGGGACAAGATATAGCGGGAAACAGTCACCATAGAAGAATACATTAGGTACATTATTAAATATAAAACTTGCATTATAACCGTCCTTGCATTATTGATACGGACTTAAATGAAACATTTTAATTCTTTTCAAAGAAATATTGTCCGTTACGTTTGTGATAAAAATACCGCAAATTAACTTATGAGCAATTATAAATAAGTCATATATTGAAGGTACGTACCTAAGGAAGTGTATGTTGGTTCAAAGAAATATTATTTATCCTTAAATACTTACGCTTCACAACACTGATATATGTAGGTAATACTATGAATCGTGCAATTGAAACGACTAGGGAACATTTAAAATGATTTAGAGCGATAGAACAATTTGTACTTAAACCAAATGTCAATAAATGTGTAATATGATTTATCGAAAACAAAGTATTCGTGTCATCTATAGATGTTTTGGTAAAACTCACGTCACTAAACACCAAAAATATTTACAGTCTGGGGTCAATAGACTATACAAATGAGTTCATTAGTAAAAATATATTTGAAATATTGTGCAGTTCGGTTACGGTAGCCAATAGGTATTTTGTTTAACTCACGTAATAAAAAAGATCTTATTGAAAAGAAAAAGTATATTTTTATATGACTCTGGAATCCTTTTCAGACATAATACTTTTTAACGTATAATTTTAATTTCAAAATCATCTCAAGCATAAAATTTTCAATTCAATCTTTCGTGATGTAGTAAATGCAATATTTAATTGAATATAAATGTAAGCAACATTCATTCATTAATTTCCTACATTTATTTTCTAGAAGTACATACGTACACTCAATATGACATCATGAGCAATACCAGGCGCTAACTGTATGAATAAACACACCAGCCGGAAAATAAGACTGACGTAAATATAGAGATTATAACTTCTGTTTACATTGAACTGTTATATAGAGGATATTATTTACATATAATTATAAGTATTGATACTAGAAAAAAGAATAGTACTGGACAACGAATTTATAGTAATATATGTACAATTATTGTGTCTCATTTAATTATCAATTAATTATTTATGTTTGCTTGATATCTAAGATTTAATTCAGTTTTATTCATTTAAATTAATCTAATATGTTTCACATCTTATCTGTCCATGATCACGGTTGCTGAAAAGTAGCCAAAACATCGGGAGTATATAGTTTTTACCAAAAATAAAGTCGCGTAGTATTCGAAAAACATTAGTTTCATTTAAATATTTATGTTTGTCTCTTTGTATTTTTGATGTAAATATAATGATTTTTATTACACAAAATTGATTCAAATAGTTTTTCTTTGAAGTTATAGTAATAATAAAACTAATAATTTAATATATCTATTAAATGTATGTATGTAAATATATTTTTTACTTATAACTTGTGCCACGCAACACTAAGATGTCCGCCTACACGCTCGGAGCAAGCCGCCGGTGATTTGAAAACTTTTTGTGGCTATTTAAATTGGGTGCTTGTTACAACGTACTAGTACATTTCTAATATTATGAATGTTTTACATTCTTTTACGTATACGAGATTTTATTATAGAGTTATACATAAATTTTCCTATACGTTATCGAAAAATCGATGTGAAGTTGGTTTTATTTTCTGTATTTCTCGTGTCTCGTTTTATGAAACGAGATTTTAGAAACATTTTAAACAGATTTATAAAATCCAGTAAATGATGTATATATTCTTTTCAAAGTGTTTTAAAATTAAAAACTCGATGCTTAAATTCAATTATGTTGTACTATAAAGCCTTCATATAAAAAATACTTATAAATTCTATAGCACAGTAAGTATGTACTCATATATTTACAACTAGAAAGGCATGTATTATTATATTTTAATTTATCGATCCTCTAGTAGTTAACGAAACCGGATCTCAGTAAATCTGACAGTCTTAGTCATGTACATTGCAAGGTTATTAACCAATGGCAATTTTATTGTAACATATCGAATAAGGATTTGTCTAATCTTTACATTATTTCATTTTCTTATGAAAGTATGAACCATAAAAGATAATATAATCTTTTAAAATGAATTTTTAGGAAGGTTTTGAACAATTAAATTGCTAAAGAAGGTTGCAATGGATTATTTTAAAAGCCTATCCTAATATTAAAGCTTAAAAAAGGCTTAAAACCAGCAGCAGGGTAAAGCCGGTTTTAGTGCTGTAATTGAAAGACGGCAGTCATCATCGGCTTAGAGATTAATTTTTGAGGGATTCACTATATTGGGGATAATATTAGGAAGAGATACTTAGTGGGATGAATAAGTAATTTAAACTTTACTCTGTAAATAATAAAGCATAGTTACGAGTGATAACTTCATAGATTATTATATTTATTAATATAAATATTATTTCTGTGCTATTAAGACGCTGCGAGTATCGAACTTTGGTATTACAAACACTAATACCTACTGATTTTTAGTAGAAAAAAACTAGTTTCTTTACATAATTCTGAATATCACGATAAAATAACCTATAGAGAGAGAATTTTTTTTATGTTTCTTCTTCCACGGAGGAGTCTTTGATTTCGTTTCCAATATATTCAATAAATATTTACCGTTTTATATTAGTCATAAATATGGCAACGTGAATAGTGTCAGATGAAATGACTCATGACAGTCACGGGAGGGCGAGTCACGAGTCACGATCGTGGCCTAGAAAGTTGATATCAAATGTACGGATTTAAAGGTAAACTTAGGTTCAGGCAACACACGGTATAAGGTTAGTATAGAACGTACAGATATGGGAGGTTGATTGAATTGAGTCCAAAGTTTGGTCTCCATAAGAGCTATACAAATGTATACAATATATTACTTATTATTTTATTAAATCATTCGTATATTCTTCACTTGTTTAAGATAGTATCTTATTTTACTCAAAAAGATAAACAAAATTTTCGCTTCACTGTTTAAAATCATGTTTTAAGGGAAAGTACTTATCTGGAAAATGATATTTGTTATGAATAAGACTTTGAAGTTTTGATAAGAGGTGGGAGGGAGAAAGAGAAAGAAAGATGAAGAAAGAAAGAGAAAGAGATAGAGAGGGAGAAAAAAGACTTGAAGTTATCTAATAAATAAGCATCTTTTACTGCTACCGGACATTGTATTGAATATACCTTTTGTGATGGAACCTGTGGTGCTATTAAAAATTACAATCGTCTATGGCTCAAACAACAAATATAGAATTTCAGGTGTAACCATTATTATCGATATATTATCTTAAAAAATATCGATATCCACGTCCCTAGGTTGATCAATTCTGTCTATATTTTTTACATACAAATAGTACCAGTGGATAGTAAAACAACATATATTAAACAACCTTCAGTTCTTTAATTTCAAATCTCTTATTATAACGATCAATTGATGACTGAAAAAAGTTGACCGCCTTATATTGATATCACACCCGAGTCTCTTAAGTTGAATTAAAATAGCCAGAGAATTTTATGACTTAATTCTTTATTAATAGAGTTCAAATTATCAAAACAGATGACAAAAAAATTTGGTAATATTGAGAGTTTCTTTTTGATAAAACATTTAGTTTTGTATAATGTTATGTGTTTATTTAATTTGTATTTCTTAGATAGAAATATGAAGCGACTCATATTTGCTTGGCATTTAAGTTTGGCCATAGTATTAGCTTTTATTCCACAGTATTTTTGTGAGGAAAACAGTTTATGTATCACGATTATCGAAAAATTGTATCAAGTAATATTTTTCTGATGTGAGAAAACAGGTTCTCGTATGAAATAATTACTTTAACTTTGTAACAAGGGTGTAAGTGTAAGCCTTTCTAAAAACAAAGTTTAACTACGTGTCTAAAATCAATGAGGCTCTATTATATATAGTAGTTATTTATATATTATATATATTTGTTCTTCAGTCTTCTCCCAGCCAGTCGTCATGTCAGTACATTAGGCGCCTGTGTCCGTGGCCCATGTGAGATGCCACTCCATATTCATATGTAATGAACACGATATGATCGAGCGCCTTTCATATTTGAATACCTACCGACACTCCGAGCTCTACGTACGCTGGTTTTTGAATTTTAAATATTATAAGTTGTTTTAGAACCGGTTATTTTAGTATCACAAGGCTGCGTGAGCTGGGAGGACGTATTAACATTCTATCGATACTACTGTAAGCTTTTTTTTGCGGAACGTTCGCGAAATCTCGTCCACCCTAAACCGGTCGCGCGACGCCATTACGAAATTTCGGCCATGTTTGTTTCGCGGAAAGGCGGCAGAAGAAGAATTAACCTAGACCCGATGGGCAGAATGCGATTGAGATTCAAATATCGAATCGGTCGTGGATGTCGAGCTGGTCAGATAGTGCTGTGGGGGGAGGAGTGGGAGGAGGGGGCGGAGGGGTCCGGGGTCCGGGGTCCGGGGCGCGAGGCGGGCAGTACTCGGCCGGCGCCGCCCGCGCACTGCCGCGCGTTCATTGCGCCGCCAAGCGTGCACCGAGCGCCGACCGCTGAGCCGAAATCCGTGCATTTCTCGTTTCATTTTCGCCCACATCGGGTTTTCGGTTGCGGCATTACCCGACGTGCAGTTCCAGTGTCCGGTACTACGCGTTCCGTGTACCTCTGTCTCAGTGCACGAGATGTATCTTCGGATGTGATCCGCGGCCGGTGAGTTCACATTATGTTTCTGCGCAATCATTTACTGCACTACACGTAATTGGTTATATTTATTGCTTCAATAGCTCCTCTCTGTTTTAATTCTCGCCGTGAGAACAGAATGTCCCGACAATGTATAGTATAAACAAGTTCTTGTAATATTTTACATAACACCTACATATAAAGCGATGTCATTACCTGGGCTAGTCTTAATTCCGTCGGGGTTTTTCCTGAGATCCGGGTAGTGCGACCCACGCAGCCTTGACCGCGCTAACCTGCCGAATATGACGCACGCCCATTAAATATAACATCTCAATATTAATACACTTCATAGAATAACACGTATCTTAAATTTTGTGATCAGAACGATGGGTGTAAAATAGCGTTTTATTTCCTATACTTGTATATAAAATATATTTACTATGTTTCTTTATATATCAAAGTACACAAACGCCAACATATATTAGAAAGTAAGCGGCTCGGACGGCTTAATGAATAAGTTGTGAAATGTTCCGTCGTTATGTGTCATTAGCCGATTTTCTCGACGATTTGTAATCTCGTATGAAACGAGAAAATGATGAATGCTATCTTTATATTGAAGTTGCATATTTGATGTTTCTGTTGCAATTAGGGATTGGAAGGGATTTTATAAGACAATGACAATTAAGGGTAAGGGGATATAGTAAATATATTTTCGTGTTTAACAATCAAAATACAATTATATTTTCATTTAATCTTAAGACAGGTGTCAGTTAAAAAACGCGGGTAGTTTTATAAAACCTCGTGACAAAGACGTATTTATTTTTGATGTTTGTTTGTCAACTCACATAATTAAATTAGAAGAATAAATATTATATATTTTCTTTATATAAATATATAATTTTTGATCATGATTTCTTTTATTAAGAATATTACAGATACAGTTCTCACAATTTCACGTACAATAAATATATTCGACTTAACAATAGTTTAAAGACCCGTATTTATTTGAATTTATATTTAATGAAGGGCTTGTAGCGTAGTTGATAATTATTCAGGAATCCGAGAGCGCGTTGATGTCTTTTACAGGATGATTTTTGTTATCATTTTAATGATCATTAAACACATCACTAATAAAATCAGTTAGTTATAAATCGTATCTACATTTATATAATATAATAGTTTTGTTTTCCTCGTATAGATACAAATTGATTTATTAATTAAGAATAATTTTATCCATCGCTAGTTATATCTTACTTATGTAATTATTTAATTAGTACATATTTTTAATTAAGCTGTTATTTATTTCATATATAGTACCATTTAAATGCTTTAAATATTACTTTCTTGGAGTAAATATAAAATCCTCGTAATTTATTCCTAATATTTGAACACATATTTCATCACTCAGAAACTGAGTATAGGTATATATGTGTAATTTGTAGTGGTGGAGAATTAATAATATTCAGTTCAGTTAAAATTCAATAAACTTGGCTTGTCAACGTGATACTTGGCTAGGAACTGACATTCCTTTCCCACCTTTCATATGAATAAAATAAAAATAAATAAATATATAAAGCCTTTAGTTTTGAGTATATATTCGGTATATATACCTTCGGGTATAAACGCTGTTTCCTCAGTAGTAACCACAATATTATCATACGAATTAAAAAAAACTATCATTAAATAGATGTAGATTGTTATTTGGTGTGTACCGTTACACATTGTTCGCGGTTCTTGGTCGAATAAAGATTTACATATCCACTGACCGTGAACGTGCCGCCGTCCGTGTGAAGAGACGTAAGAATGTTCAAGAATATGTACGATAACCACATCCACTATGTATTCTAGGATTACTAACTTATTATATATGTTAATATTATTATGACTATCATATTTATAAATGTAATAATCAATTAATTATTAAGACATAATTCGGAAGATAATTTGTGAGGACTTCTCTTAAGGAACGTTACTATGGTTTGTATCCTGTCTTCGTACAGACGAATGGTATATATCTTTATATATTTACATATATATATATGCTTCATATGCTTTCTTCGTCATATAAATCATGGTCTTGAAGTCCACGAGTTTCTGAATCACTAACTAGTTGCCCAATTTGCGTCGCCACCGACCGTGTATTTCTCGTGTGAAACGGAACGAGCGGAGCGTTCCTTTATATTCTTATACAACTCCAAATTTAATTAGAAATGCTTCGGTAGTCGTTTGATGATCGCATCAATGTTCATGCTTTTATACTTTAAAGTTTTATTGTACCGAATTTTACAATTATAATTAGAGTGACCATGATTTTAAGTTGGATAAATTTAGTTATCAAAGCTCTGGTTTTAGCGAGATGTTTTTATATCGTCTGATATTGTAGATAGGTTTTAGGTGGTGGGTATAATAACTGATGGTATATGTTATGAAGTATGGTCACCCTAACGCGAAGCTCATAATAGAGTGCATTAATAGTATCATCACGATTGCGGCCGACGCCCGTCTGAATATAGTCATATCTTCGTAGGCATCGCCGACTGGTCGCACGGTATATACAAATTTGATCGTATAATTTAAACCTTATTACAATATGCATAGAGTCCACAGCCCGCGAGTTTGTGTTATTAATTTTTATTCTTAACGTCTTTGTTACAAGGCGTTGATTCTCCAAATTACCAACTGTTTCCTTGAAAAATGTATTGTTTTTTGTTGTTTGAGTTATACGTATATTAACACGCTATTTAAAATGTTTAGCGATGTTATGTATTTAGAAGTCTTACGACTATTTTACATTTCATTGTATTAAATTTATATCTTAGTTAAGATAATAACAGGTAGGATTAGTTCTATGATGTTATTGAAAAGGCAATATTTTAAAGAACAATTCCTTTAACGAAGTCCCTTGCTGTTTTTTTCTATATACTCCAAGACCTGCAGGAAAGTGACTCGGTGGTTTAATTTTGTCTGACAAAAGGTTCAATTATGGTAACTATATAACTTGTATTTTTCTTGTTTAAGTGCAGTCATAAAGCCCTTGAAGTAACAATGCATACAATGGGCAGGTATTAAATAAAAATGTGCACATTCTTTTCAATATTGTGAGGTAAAAAAAAAATATTTTGCAGGTAGTTCTTTGAATGCATTTATTCTGTCTTTCATGTTGTGTTTCAATCTAGTAATTTTATTGTAAAATGTCAGTTTTAGTCGAAGTTTCAATTCAAATTTGACGTTATTTCTTTATTCCCAACATAAAAGTATATTTAAAAGTAATCAGTGTAATTGCTGAATTATTTCTTTGGTGTAAATGTTGGCTTGGGAGACTGTCAAAGCGGCTAATGACTCGTGAAACGCCGAGTCGGCTTCACGATTTCATTTTCGTATTCGGCTTTAAATGTGCAAAATGCTTTTAGTTCTAATGGATCAAAACTTTATAGCTCTGACGTTGTAGATGTTTGTGGTTCAAATACTTTTTATTTTACTGCTCATATAAAACAAGATATAATAATTTTTGGTTTAATCTTTAATAATTGTGAATTTTTAAGAGATAAATAGATAGATTTTACGAGATAAGTTTTAAGTTCTTAACAAAATAAAAACCGGACCATAGCAGGTAACTTAAAGCAGGTAGGGACACCTGCCTAATATCTCGCTTTACTTATGGCCATCCAAGCTAAGATCCCTCGGGTGTTCTCAATGTTCCCTTCCTTGATGTTAAGTTTATATATTTGAAGGACGAATCAGAGCTCATTCTATCTGGTTTCGCCGCTCAGTCACCTGTGACGCTCGTACATCCTTTTGTGTGTAATTGATAAAAGTTCCCTGCGAACATCTGTCCGGCGCGAGGTAAATCTTTTTTGTTCGCATCCTAAATTGCACGTGTGATTTTTAAATTGCTAACAAAAAGTTTGATGTGAATACATTATTTTTGTTATGTAGCATTCTGTTTTTGTTTTACATTTCCTTTGAGCGATTCCACAATCGGATTTTATATATTTTTTCACAATAAATAACTTTGTTTCTTAAGTAACGAACGTTCAAGGGTAAGTACTGAGAGTTTATGATGATTTTAAAGGTCTATCAACTTTTTGTAAGTCCATTTTTATTTGTTAAGGGATTTCTAAATGCTTACGTTTCTGAAACAAAAGTTTTAATCCTCGGATTATAAAGTTTATTTTGGGTCTAACGTTTCTCACTGATGGCCAATAACAAAAGTATTGGAGATGGTTTCTTTTAGAAATAAGGAAATACGCTGTAATGATAATATTACTATTAACATCACATTATGCTTATCAAACTTATCACAATTAAGTATATGAAATTAGATCAAGAATAATTGTCATGAGGTGTAGAAAACAACATTTGTCGAGATACAAGTATTGAACCCCAATTAATACATATTTGTACCAGTTGTGACAAAAATATAATGATTATTTATCTTAAAGATAAGGAGTTACGTTGAAGGCAAATTTTACAAATTAAAATAAATGTAAAAGAACCTTAAACGTTCTTACCGTATTGCTTAATAGCATAGTTACACATATTTTTATGAAGCAAACGTAGGTATCGAAAAAGTTTCAAGGATAAGACCTGTTTTATATTGAAGTTTATTATTGAAATATAGCCTTTAACTTAATTGATATAAGAAATATTTTTGTTACAAAAAAATATACTAACAAATTATACTTTAATAAGCAAAAAATGTCACTGGACCGGTCCCATTCACCTGTTTCCGTTCGGTCTACACCTGTGTCTAAAACTTTTTGTAATTTTATATTTGTATTACAGTATTCATTATACCGTACTCAGTGTTACCAATGCTCATTCAGACTGAGTGTTCATTTCTTTTCATATACGTTTTTCGAAGACTAAATTCTCGTCCTCAAATCCATTTTACTGTGAAGTTTCGTGGACGGTGGTGATGACCATATGATTATTATATTACTGGTAATATTTTCTGGCAAATAGTTCTAACTACTACATAGGTATCTTTCACGCTGTCATGACAATTTAGTAATACACCAGCCGTTGATTGAC